TCCTGCCTTCCAGAAAAGAAACAAAGAAAATCATTATTATAAGCTATCAGCTTCTGATTCTCCCACTCTTGGGCCCTGGGAATTGTCATGTCTGCTTGTTTATTTGTTTGTTTTTCAAGTCAAGGTTTCTCTGTGTAGCCCTGGCTATCCTGGAACTCACTCTGTAGACCAGGCTGGCCTTGAACTTAGAGATCTGCCTACCTCTGCCTCCCAAGTGCTGGGATCAATGGCTTGCACCACCAAGCTCGGCTAGGTTTGCTTTTATTTTATGAGTAAGTATGTGTGACGTGTGTGTGCCTGGGGAAGCGGGCATCAGATTCCTTAGAACTGGAGTTGCAAGTGGTCATAAACCACCATGTGGGCTCTGGAAATTGAACAGGTGGTGTTCTCTCCAGCCCCAGTTAGCACCCTTACAAGTTACATTTTCATTTATTTATTTTGTGTGTGTGTGTACAAGAGTGGCTTCGCACATGTTGAGGTCAGAGGACAGCTATAGACGTTGATTATCTCCTTCCTCCCTGTGGGACTCAGGGCTCAAACTTGGATCTTTAGGCTTGACAGCAAGTGCTTTTGCCCACTGAGCCATCTTGCTGCCTGTTGTTTCAAATTCTATGGCTTGTGCATAGAAATGTGCTAGATAACTATTTTACCTGATTATTTTGTCATTGTTTGAGACAAGGTCTGGTCCTGTAGCCCAGGCTGGCCTTGGACTTCTGATCCTCTTGCTTCAGTGGCCTGGGCTACAGACATGTACCTCCATATCTGGTACTTTTTAGAGTTACCGCTTAAGTGGTTGGTCAATTAGCATGTTTAGACACACACTCCAAAAGTAATGTAGATTCTTAGCACTGAGACAGCTGCAATAAAATGTATTTCATTCTCTCTCTCTCTCTCTCTCTCTCTTCTTCCTCTGTGTGTGTAGATTGATAAGTAGAAAGATGATAGATGGGTAGATGTATTTATAGACAGATAGTTGGATGACCGTCCATCCAAGAATTGGGAGTGAGGCCAGGTGTCGTGGTGTGCACCTTTAATTCCAGCTCTCAAGAGGCAGAAGCAGATAGATCTCTGTGAATTCGAGACCAAGATGGTTTATATAGTGAGTTCCAGGCCAGTCACAGCCACACTGTGAGACCCTGCCTCAAAAAGGAGAGGGGGAGAGAGGGAAAGGAGGGAGGGGAAGAGACTTTTGAGATGGGCCTATGAACATGTATGTCCAGAATGAATTTTTTTATTTTGTTATTGATGTAGGAAGACTTGTCCACTGTGGGCGACTCCATTCCCTAGCCGGGATCCTAGGCTGTGTGGATGGAGAAAGGTTGCTGAGCAGCAGCAGTGCCCACGCTCTCTGCTTCCTGATAGAGAGTGTGACCAGATGCTTCAAGCTGCTGCTGCCTTGACCTCTCCTGAAACATGGTGCCTTTGAGCTGTGCGCTAGAGTAAACACTTTCTCCCTTAATTTACTGTTATTGGAGCATTTTATTACAGCAATAGGAAAAGTAACTAAGATACAGCCAATGGGATGCACAAGCGAAGGAGAGATTGATCAGGTGAGGAACAGATGAATAAGAGATGGGCAGATATGTGGGTGGACAAGTGGATCAGACTGAAAGATGGACGCATCCATGGATAGTTAGATGGGTGAATAGATAGATGGATGGGTAGATAATGGGGTGGATAAGTAGATGCTTGGGTGAATGGATAAACAACAGATCAGATAGATGGACACTATGTGGGCAGACAGACGGAGATGGGTGGACAGTGGGTGAGTACATGGATAAATAAATAGATGATGAATGCACTGATGGGTGGGTAGATAGATGATGGGTACCGTGAGTGACGGTAGACAGACAGACAGACAGACAGACAGACAACTAAATACATGACGGCCAGAGAAGCAATGATGAGAGATGGATAGATGATGTACAGACAGAACAGGGATAGATGAGCAGGTGACAGATGGATGGATGGATGGATGGATGGGTAAATGGTAATGGATGGGTGGATGGGTGGGTGGATGGACGGACAGACAGACAGCAGATGAATGGATGGACCTACATAGCTAGCAGATAAATGTGACATAAACTCATCTATTAAGCAAATATACATTAGCTTGGTTGTATTTGGTTGGTTGATTGGCTGGTTGGTTGGTTGGTTGGTTGGTTTGGTTTGGAGACAGGTTCTCACTATGTAATCCTGGCTGTCCTGCCGGAGCTCACTGTGTAGATCAGGCTGGCCTTGAACTCAGAGATCCTCTGCCTTCTCCGGTGCTGGGACTGAAGGTGTGAATCACCACATCTGGCCAGAGAAAGTTGGACTGTAGAGAAGCACAGATTCTTGGTTCCGCCAAGGAGTTTGCCATCTGGTGGAAAAGAGAGGCCATGCACCCTCTATGAATCTCAAGCAGAGGAAAACCGGATTTACAGTGATCAGAACCAGGGTATGGAGAACTCAGGGATGGGATGGCATTTTGGTGTGAGCAGACCAGGGGGGAAATCTCGAGAGGCACCCAGAAGAGGGTCTCAGGAAGGATCCCAGGGGGAAACTGGGTTCCCATGCCCAGTAGGTATCTCATCATGCAATCTCTGTGGATCATGAACCCTATCTATTTATTTAAGAGGCTATGAACTCTGGGCACCGGGTACTAGAGGGCAAGCAAGAAAGGCAATGAGAGTCGAACCAGGCCGCGTACACCATGGCACCTGGACTTCCACCACGTGGGTTCCAAGGATTGGTCATGAGGCTTGGCAGCCAGCAGCTTTGCCCACTGAGCCACCTCACAGGCCGTGTTTTATTTTGGAGGGGGGAGGTCTCACTATGTAACCCAGGCTAGCCTCAAACTTGTTATGTAGCCAAGCATGACTTTGGACTCTGATCCTCTGCCTCTATCTGTCCATTGCTGAGATTACAGACATGTCACGCCACACCTGCTTTATGCAGTGCTGGGGATGGAACCCATGGCTTCCTAATGGCTGGACAAGTGGGCTACCAACTAAACTGCAGGCCCAGCCTGAGTCTGGAAACTACTTCTTTTTGTTGATGGTGTTGTTGGAAGGGGGGGTGACGGTGGTGATTTTTTTGTTTGGTTTGGTTTGGTTTTTGTTTGATTTTTTGTTCCTTTGTTTGTTTCACAAGACAGGGTTTCTCTTTGTGTATCCCTGGCTGCCTTGGAACTCACACTGTAGACCAGGCTGGCCTTGAACTTACAGAGATCTGCTTGTCTTTGCCTCTGGAGCACTGGGATTAAAGGTGTGCGCCACCACTACCACCACCCAGAAGTCTGGAACTTTCTATGGAGGCTAGAATTTAAATTTTATGGTCTTTTTGTCTCTGCTTCCATAGTGCTGGGATTTTATAGACAAACTTATCTTTCTAGACAATGGCTGAGATCTTCAAAGGTTTTCTCAGGACCTGGGAAACAGAATGGAGATGCACAGGGCTAGAGAAATGGCTCAGTGGTTAAGAACACCTGCAGAGGTCCTGAGTTCAATTCCCCCCAACCACATGGTGGCTCAGAACCATCTGTAACGGGGTCCAATTCCCTCTTCTGGTGTGTCTGAAGACAGTGATGGTATACTTTTAAAATATATATATATATATAAAAAGAAAAGAATGAAGATGCAGATGAAGCTGCTTGAAGAGCAACGGATGATTGGGGTGTGTGTTGAAATAGAGTCACCCACGACCCTCCCACCCGACTCAGACATAGCTAACCTTTCCACTGGTGACAAGAAGCTTGGGGACACTGCTACAGAAGCTAGGGGCCCTTAAAGCCATTTTTGAACCAACATCTAGACATCTAGATCAGGCTTTGAGATACTTGGCTATATTGTCACCCCAGTGTGGTGCACCTCGGACAAAATTTGTTTGTTTGTTTGTTTGTTTGTACACTGCTGGGAATTGAACCCAGGACTTTGCTAAGGTTAGATAAACACTGAGTCACTCTTAGCTGGGATCTCAGAGGTCTTTTTTCCTCTTCAGTTAGGTGTCTGCTATGAATGCCCAGCCTTTCAAAAGCAGGAACAGGCAGGGTGGTAGTGGCACATGCATTTATTTCCAGACTCAGGAGGCAGAGGCAGACAGATCTCTGAGTTAGAAGCCAGCCTGGTCTACAGAGAGAGTTCTAGGACAGCCTGGACTACACAGAGAAACGCTGTCTAGATAAACAACAAAACAAAAAAAGAAAAAGAAAGAAAAGTTGGAACAGAAAGAAGCTTCAGGGCCAGTAAGAGAACTCCCTGAGCAGAAAGCCTGAGGACAGGGGAGGTGATCTAGAGAGGGTGAATTCTCAGCGTCCCCTTCTCAACTTTGCTGTACAGGTGTAGGACAATCATAACAGCACCTGGGTGCAGGCTAGCATTGGGGGTCAACCACACAGGACCCTGGGAAAGTGAAGAAAGGCTAGAGATTTACTTAATTCAGTATGAAGCAGAGAATGACCTTGAACTTCTGATATTTTATGTAGTTAGTTAGTTAGTGTTTTTGTGTCTAGGAATGCGTTTGGAGTTCAGAGGTCAAATTTTAAAAGTTGAGTATTTTCTTTCAACATGTGGGTCCTAGGGTTCAAACTCATGTCCTCAAGCCTGGCAGCAAACGCCTTTACCAGCTAGCCATCTTGTCAGCTTGCCTCCACCTCCCGAGTGTTGCACTAACAGAATCGCCCCCATGCTAAGTTTCTGTGGTGCCGACATTCGAACCCAAGGCTTCGTGCATGCTAGGCAAACACTGTACCAACCCAGCTGCAGCCCCAGCCCCAGCCAGCCTTTCTCTGCAGCCTGAAAAATAGAGACTAAAATATGCTCACAACGCGTGGAAAGGCAAAGCACCGCCAAAACTTCAGGGCCAGTGGTTTCACACCAGGCTCTCCGGTTATGCTAATTTAAATATCACCTGCCAACCAAGACCACGCCCATAACAAGGACCTATCAGGGGACAGAGGCGTGACCATGGTAATTAGGCTCAGCTGGCAAGGTTCGGTTCTCAAACTGCTCTTCAGAGTGCCCGGGAGTTGTCGACAGTAGTGGCCATGGCGCGCGCGCTGGCGGATCTATCCGTGAACCTGCAGGTCCCCCGGGTCGTCCCCAGCCCGGATTCGGACTCGGATACAGACTTGGAGGATCCGAGTCCCCGGCGCAGCGCGGGTGGCCTGCATCGATCACAGGTCATCCACAGCGGACACTTCATGGTGTCCTCGCCGCACAGCGACTCGCTGACCCGGCGACGCGACCAGGAGGGGCCCGTGGGGCTCACCGACTTCGGGCCGCGCAGCATCGATCCGACACTCACCCGCCTCTTCGAGTGCTTGAGCCTGGCTTACAGGTGAGGGCGGACGGGGGAGCCTGGGTCGCAGCTTTCCGTGGTGGGACCGCGCACTGGGGCTCTGGTCCCAAACTGCTACAGGGGACTCTGGATACAATTTAGGCATTCTCCCCCTCGCCGGGTCCTGAGCCAGCCCACGGACCCTCATGAATCACTTGCGTCCCATCACCTGCCTGTGGCGCCACTGTCCTTTCCTCCACCTCTGCAGGGTCTCTTGCAGGTGGACCCCGCTCCCAGGTTCTTCTGCTTTTGCCCTTAAATGCCAAGTGTCTTTTACACTTCTCGGACTATAAACCGTCCCGTCCACTCCCTCCCTCCACTCGTGTGATGCCTGGATTGTTTCGTTCATCCCCAGCAGTCCCTGCAAAGTCCCACTCGTTTCCCTTCACTCTGCAGTTGTCCCGTGCTCGTCCTCATAGCCAGTGTCAACGTATATGGAAACAGTTTCTTGCTCACTTCCCAATTGCCAGGACACCATTTGTTTGGCTTGATTTAGTTTGGTGAGCCAACAAAGTCTCACTCTAAAGTTCAGGCTGGCATGGAGCTAAGTAGCCCAGGCTGGACTCCTTTCTCAGCCTCCCAAATACCGGGATTACAGGCATGAGCCACGGTGCCTGATTTAGAACGCTGTGTCAAGGTTGGCGGGAAGACAGTGCCCGGCATCTGCCTAGAGCCAGCAGGGGGTGCTGCAGTCCACTCTGGGTCCGGTAGGGAAAGCCTAGTCTCCCCGAACCCGGTATCTGTAAGAGGTTGTAACGCAGCCCGGAACCCTCGCTGCTACGGCTCCGAACTCCAGGGCCGCACCCAGCTCCAGCCCCACCTACATGTCCCAGGGGAGGGCGAGAACTGGGGTCTTGGCCCAGTGCCCTGGAGCAAAGTTCCCAGGAGCAGAGGGACTAGGATAAATTATCAACCGAAAACAGTAGGAGAGAAAGGGGGAATCGGCTGGCCTTGATCTTTCCTCTCTGTAAATATCACGCTTCTTCAGCGAGCCTCCACCCCTTCTTAGAACCGCTGGCTGTAGACCCGCACCTGCAGCCCCATAGGGGACCTGGAGCTGGGGTGCGAATTGCGGAAGAGCATGGCCCACCTCGTGGCGGCAGAGCCACGCGACCCCATTGGCTGGAGGCAGAGTAACCTTGGCCCACAAGTTCTGGCCTCAAGCCCAGGTCATGTTGCAACCTGATAGTTCAGGGCGCTGAGACTGATGTGGAAAGTTCAAATTCCCTGTCCTGTTCCCCCTCCCCCGCCCTTGGACATCATGAGACTGCCTGGGAAGGGGCCATCTAAGGTCTCAGAACACCAGAAGCTGCTCACACTGGGACAGTGTTTTAGTTATCAAAGACTTCCAATTATTGGGGATACACGGAGGAGAGGGGGCTATCCCTAACTCCCCTCTCCTCTCCCCTCCCCTCTCCTATTCCCCCCCCCTCCCCCCTGCTCTCCCCTCCCCACCCCTCCCCTCCCCTCTCCTCTCTCTCTCCCTCTCGTTGAGTCTCACACTATAGTCTAAGCTAGCCTGGAACTCACTGTAGAACCGAGGCTGGCCTGGAATTCTGCTCTGGCCTCCCAAGTGCTGGAATTATAGGCATGTGTCACAAGAAGCCAAGGGTTCCCGTGTTCCCCCAAAAGGGTCTCTCATTTCCTGACCACTCCACTCCCAACGTAGGCTTCCTGAGGCATCTATATGTTCCACTAGCTAGCTTAGAGAGCTTCCCAACTCAGACTGTGGGCAGACAGAAGGGGAGCAGTTATAGGGAAAGAGCACAGGGAGGGACACAGGGCTCCCTTCTGAGGCTGCCTGAGGCTGAGGAACTCCAGCTAGGGTTAAGAGCCGTTCTTTTCCACCTGCCCAGAAGCCAGACTATTAAATTCTCTTGAGTGGGATTCTGAGGCTACACAAGGATGAGTGTAGCCAAGTTCACAGGAGTCTTTGGTTTTGCACCCTTGGTGAAGGAAAAAAAAAAAAATACAGCATGGGCTGGGAGAGGGCTCTACCGGTGAGGGTGCTTGGTGGCCGGACTGGTGACCTGAGTTAGTTTCCTGGAACCCACATCGAAGTGGCTGCAGGGAACTGACTCCAGAGAGTTGTCTGAACTCTGACCTCCGTGTGCCATGCACGAGCACCCCTCCCAATGATACAAATAAAAACAAAAGCAAACACCCCATGCTCACGCTCATAAACCCTGTGTGGTTGAGCGTACCTAGAATCCCAGAACTCTGAGGGCTGAGGGCAGAGGGTCAGGAGATCAAGGTTATCCTCTACTGTATAGGAATTTAAGGTTTGAGGCCAGCCTGAGATAATCTGAGATCCTGTCTCAAATAAATAAACAAATCCAAGCTCAGACTAGAAGAGGTCTATAGAACTTCTGTGAATAGGAGTTCTCTGAAGCAAAGGGGCTTTCAGAGGGTGAGAATCTCCGGGGAGCGGCTAGAAAGGTGGGTGTGGGGCACCCAGGCAGGGGGTCTGGTGGTGGGTGGAACTGGTCAGTTAGGCAGAGAGGACAGCCGGGGGACAGCCTGCAGACGCCTGGGCGCCTCAGTCCTGCCAAGGAGCACTCTTCTGGCACACTGTGTTCTTGGTTCTGTGGGTGGAAGCCCCAGGGAGGACAGCTGTAAACGGTCCAAGAAGGCACTTGTCTAGGGAGTGGTGGCACAGGCCTGTCATTCCAACAGTCTGCAGGCTGAGGCAGGAAGATGAGGATCCAGCCTGGGCTACAGATCAAGACCCTGAGTTAAAACAAACAAACCAACAAGCTGACAAAAAAAAAAAAAAAAAAAAAGACGGCCTTGTGGTAAAGCTGTTTGCCTTGCAAGCTTAAGGACCTGAGTTCAATCCCCAGAACCGACAGAAAAAAAAAAAGAGTCTGGCTTGCTGGTGTGTGCTGGCGACCTCAGTGCTCCAGACAGATGGACAGCCAGCTGCCTGTGGCCCGCCGGCCAGCCAGCTTAACTTGCTTGGTTGGTGAGTTCCAGGCCAATGAAAGACTCTGTCTCAAAAACCAAGGCGGATAGCATCTGAGGAACCATATTTGAGTTTGTCCTCTGGTCCCAACAGGCATATGCATCTCCCCTCCTCCCTCTCTCCCACGTCTGAGGTTTTCTGGTTCCCTCCATTGCGCCCGTTTTGAACCTTGGCCCTAGGCTTTTTGTAGCCAAGCAGACTCTTCCCTCACATGCGCTCAACCCTTTCCTCTTGACTTAGATATTGTCGCTGGCTCATCTGTCTCCCTCATCGTCGGCTACCAACCCTCTGACAGAGCTGAAGGAGGGGCAGCAGAAGGTTGGGATAGGACCTTGGGGGAGCAGAGCCTAATGGTTGCTGGGATACAGACAGGGGTCACAAACTTAGGAGTATCCCCCATTCACCCTATACCACAAAGGGAGCTGGCCCAGGAAGGATTAGCGGCCCCCACCCAATCATGTTTCCTTCTTGGACAGATGGTATTTATCTAGCTATGGGAGGTAGGGGCCAGCCATCAGGCTAGGGTGGCCTATTTGGGTAATGAAGCCTGTTGTCTCCTGAGGTGGCAGCTCTTGCTACCCCACATCCCACACCCTGGCAGGCACCATTACCTCAAAGCAAATACTGGAGCTCGGAGACCAGAAAGGAGAGGAGAGCCAATGACCCATGCACCAAGGTAGTACAGGAAGAGAAGGAGGAATCAGATGCTCACCTACTCACCCCTCACCCCTAACATGAGGGGAGGTACCGGGAGAGCAGGCCTTCCTTTATGTGTGTTTATATACAGCGTTGAAGATGGAATCCAGCTCTTGTCCGATTCCTGGGAAAGTTGCCACTGAACCACATCCCCAGCCCCTCACTGGGGGATTCTAGCAAGTGCTCTCTCTGTTGGCAGAGCCACAGCCTGGCTTTCTGGACAGCTAAAACTTAGAAGCTCTCTGTTTGAGTGAGGAGTTGGAAGTTAGGCCAGACTGACTTGGAGGCAAGATTGGTTTATAGACCTTGAGGAAGGAAGGTCAGAAGGACTAAAGACGAGACAGGAAGGTGTCCGAGACCTTGACCATCTTCATCTTGGCCTCTTGAGCCAGCTTCCAGGTAATGATAACTTGGCCTTTTCTCAGAGGAACCTTGAAAGTTGAAGCCACCGCTTATGCATAACCCCTGCACATCATGTACTCCATGGACCCCGAGGTCAAGGTCAAGGTTAAGACTCTATTTCTACCCGGGCGGTGGTGGCGCACGCCTTTAATCCCAGCACTTGGGAGGCAGAGGCAGGCAGATCTCTGAGTTCGAGGCCAGCCTGGTCTATATAATGAGTTCCAAAACATCCAGGAAGACACAGCAAGATGCTCTAAGTCTTGATGTGTCCTTTGGGAGTGTCTCTTTCCCTCCATGACCCTCAGGGAGATAGATTACTTCATCCTACCTTTAAGAAATGAGTGTTTGGGGCTAGAGACATGGTTTAGGTTGATTAAGAGTCCTCGCTGCCCTTGCAGAGGACTCAAGTTTGGGTCCCAGCACCCACATGGCAGCTCACAGTCCATTTGATGCCCTCTTTTGTTGCTTGTAGCCACTAGGCATTCATGTGGTACAGACAGGCAATCATCTACACAAAATAGAAATAAAACCTTTTATTTTTAAAAAAGGTGTAAGAGTCAGCTTTGTCTACAGCATGAGTTCCAGGACAGCCAGGGGTACAAGAGAAATCTTGTCTCAAACAAACAAATAAATATAATTTAAAAGGTATACGACCTGGCTATGAGAAACTGGGCATGGTAGTGCACACCTGTAATCCCAGCATTCTGGAGGCAGAGGCAGGGGGATGGAGAGCTCAGGACCAGCCTTAGCTACATACTGAGTCCAAGATTACACACTGAAGACTCATTCTGCTATCTGAAGACTACATAAAGACCCTCTGTTGGGAGAGAGAGATGGCTCAGTGGTTAAGAGCAATGCCTGCTCTTCCAGAGGTCCTGAGTTCAATTCCCCACACCCACATGGTGGCTCACGACAATCTGTAATGGGATCAGATGCCCTCTTCTAGCATGCAGGTGTACATGCGGATAGAACACTCAGATATCAAATAAATATTTTAAAAAATTAAAGATTCCAGGACAGCCCGGGCTATACAGAGAAACCCTGTCTCGAAAAACAAAAAAAACAAAAAAACAAAAAAACAAAACAAAAAAAAAATTAAAGAAGATTCTCAAAGAAAAAAGATATGTGAGGGCCCTGCATGATGATACATATCTCCTATAATTGAAATATTGAAGATGCTGAGGCAGAAGGATTTCTTGGGTATTTCAAAGTCTTTTTATTATCGTATGTTAATTATACAAGATTATATTTCATAATGGCATTTTTATGCACATGGATAAGGTATTTGGATTACACTCTCTTCTCTCACGCCAGCTCATCTCCTTCCTCTTCATAATTCTCTTTTACTTTCATGTCTTACTTGGGGCAGGGGGCAGTCTTGGTGTAGCCCTGGCTGTCCTGGAGCTCACTCTGTAGACCAGGCTGGCCTCAAACTCAGAGATCTACCTGCCTCTGCCTCCCAAGTGCTGGAATTAAAGGCCTGTGCCACCACCACCACCCGGCATCCTGTCTTACATTTTAAAATAACACTAAGTGTGTGCGTGTGCGTGTGTGTGTGTGTGTGTGTGTGTGTGTGTTGTATGCATGTGCAGGGTGGCAGTGTATGCCCTGGGGTGGTGGTCAGAGAGCAATTTGTGGGCTCTATAGCTTTCAACCATGTGGGTCATGGGGATCGAACTCAGGTCATTAGGCTTGGCAGCAAGCTCTTACCTGCTAAGCCATCTAGCTGGCCCTTGTACCTTCTCTTGTAGTTGTTATCCAGTGAGTGTAGGGTTGCTACAGGTTCATAGCTGAGGAGTTATTTAGGATTATGGGCACCTTAACAGTGTCTACAGCACTAAGGAATCCATCTCACCCTGACTGAGCACCCACTCACTGCTTATAGGATGGAGCAGGGCCTCTACAGTCTCTCTGACCACGAGACAATATGATCTCTAATTCCAGGCCATCCTGGGCTACCTATAGAAACTCTTGGGCTTGACAGATGGCTCAGCAGAAGGAAGAACACTGGCTGAGTTCAATTCCTATCACCCACATGGTGGCTCACAACTGTCTGTAACTCCAGTTCCAGGGGATCTGACACACAGACAGACAGACAGACAGACAGGCAAAGACAACCAGTGCACACAAAAATAAATAAATCTTAAAAAGAGAGAGAGAGAGAGAGAGAGAGAGAGAGAGAGAGAGAGAGAAACTCTTTTCCCCCTCTACACACATACAGTATACACATGCCACACACACACACACCACTGGATATAAACACTCTTTCCTTTAAGGTCAGTGTTAATCAAGAGCAAGTTGATAACAAGCACCTGTCTTTGGATGGGAGGAGATAGCCCAGGAACACTGTGTGGGGTCTGGATGGATTTATAAGGTTTAACTTCAGGGTAGGGGTGTCAGGCACACTAGAAAATAGACAGGATTTGAGGACTCCAGAGAAACTGCAGCCATTGTGGCAGGCTGCTACAGAAATCCTCCTGTCTTCGCTTTTCCTGCCCCACCCTGATATTCTTTCCTCTCGTTCTGTCTCAGTGGCAAGCTGGTCTCTCCCAAGTGGAAGAACTTCAAAGGCCTCGAGTTGCTATGCCGGGACAAGATCCGACTGAACAACGCCATCTGGAGAGCCTGGTACATTCAGTGTGAGTGGGTACCATGGGTCCCTTGGGTTTGGGAGGGCTCTTTCTAGCCAGAGGGCTGCACCATGGAACCCAGAGCCAGCATCTGCAAAGCACACAGTGCCAGCCTTGGAGGGGAGAGCAAGCTGTGTAGGGTCCTTGACCAGCTTCCGGCCTTCAGAGGGTCACTCTCTCCTGTGAGACAAGGTGCACCAGAGGGCACCTTGACAGCTCTGAAGGAAGCTGTGCTGTGGGCGCCAGGTCAAGAACTGGTCAGCAGTCCTTTCATTGAGTAATCTACTCGGAATGTTCTGGTAAAAAGAAGTCAGTTAGGGCCAGAAATGTGGCTCAGGGGTAGAACACCTGCCCAGAGTTGCCCGTAAGGGGCTGGGTATTACTCAGGAGGAGAGCACCTGCCCAGAGTCCCTGAGTCGGGCGGATCATCCAGTGGTAAAGTGTCTGCCTAGAATCCACCAGGGAGTGAAGACTGTGGGGTGTAGATCAACAGTAATACACTTGCTTAGCATATGCAAGCCCCTTGTACCATATCCAGTACCATAAAAAGGGTATGGGGGCATTTACATACCGTGCCAGTCCAACTGCAACGCTTAGCAAGTGAGGAACATTCTTCATGGATAACAGCGTTTCTCTGTATAACCTTGAATACAGAGCTCCTCCATATTATCAAGAGATTGGCCTGTTAGCCGGGCGGTGGTGGCACACGCCTTTAATCCCAGCATTTGGGAGGCAGAGGCAGGTGGATTTTTGAGTTCTAGGCCAGCCTGGTCTATAGAGTGAGTTCCAGGACAGCCAGGGCTACACAGAGAAACCCTGTCTCGGAAAAACAAACAAACAAACCAAAACCAAAACCAGAGAGAGAGAGAGAGAGAGAGAGAGAGGGGGGGGGTCCTCCTGAGCACTGGGATTAAAGGCCTGCACCACCACTACCCAACACCATCAGCCTCTCAATGAAAACCTATAGGGACCTGCTGTGATTTAGACCGTCCATAAAGCCATGTTGGAATAGACAGACCCTGGACTTCCAGTTGGGTTCCTGGTCTCTGCACACTACTAGCTGTGTGACTTCAATGAAGTCACCTAATCTCTCTGAACTTACTTCCCTCTCTACCCAGTGAGGCCAGTATTCCTGACTTCTCATGGCTGTTGTGGTGAAAACAGACACAAGTAGGTATCTTAGGGTTTTTATCGCTGTGAAAAGACATCATGACTAAGGCAACACTTCTTTCTTAATTATTTGTTTTTATTTTAAGTGCATTAGTGTTTGCCCTTCATATATGTATGAGGATGTCGGATCCCCTGGAACTGGAGTGACAGACAGTTTTTTAGCTGTCCTGTGGGTACTGGGAATTGAACCTGAGTCCTCTGGAAGAGCAACTAGTGCTCTTAACTGGTGAGCCAACTCTCTCACCTCAGGGCAACTCTTATAAAGGAAAACATTTAATTGGCGCTGGCTTACAGTTTTAGAGGTTTAGTCCATTGTGATCATGGCGAGAAGCATGGCAGCATGCAGGCAGACATAGTTCTGGAGAAGGAGCTAAGAGTTCTACATCTTGATCTCCAGGCAGCAGAAGGGGACTATGTGTCACACTGGACACAGTTTCAGCATTGGAGATTTAAAGCCCATCCCCATGGTGACACACTTCCTCTAACAAGGCCACACCCACTCCCACAAGGCCACGCCTCCTAGCATTGCCCCTCCCTGTGGGCCAAGCCTCCAAGCATGCAAACACATGAGTCTATGGGGGCCACCACATTCAAACCACCACAGAGAGCATAGCACTAAGTTGTGGTTCTATGAATGAAACGACAAGAGGAGGTTACAGTCACGTATTCGGGGACAGCCCCCTCTGTGGCAAGGCAGTAAGATCAAAGGTTGTGTTGAGCCTGGAACACAGCTCTGGAGGGATACATTCACCTTTCTTTTTCCTGGCCGGGCTGGATCCATCCAAGCATGGTGGAACTGTTACACTGTAGTTTCTATTGATTCATGTGACCAAACACTTGAAGAAATTATCTTATTTAAGACTGGAAAGTCAGCCAGGCGGTGGTGGCGCACGCCTTTAATCCCAGCACTTGGGAGGCAGAGGCAGGCGGATTTCTGAGTTTGAGGCCAGCCTGGTCTACAGAGTGAGTTCCGGGACAGCCAGGGCTATACAGAGAAACTCCGTCTCGAAAAAAACCCAAAATAATAATAATAATAACTAGAAAGATGCCAAGTGTGATGAAGGGAGTCTACAGGCAAAGGCAGGAGGATCTCTGTGAGTTTGAGGCCAGCTTTGGCAGCATAGTTAGTGAGTTTCAGACCAGCCAGGTGTACATAGCAAGATCCTGTGGAGACCATAGAAGAAGCATGGTGAGCGACAATGGCAGCTTGCAAACACCTCACGGGGCAGCTTCAAATTTGGGAAGCAGAAGTGGGGGTGGGGGGATGGTGGGGAGGCATCCTTCATCTGTTGTGCTATGCAGCAAGTTCTGGGACAGCCTGGACTAGGTGAAATTCTATCTGACAAAAAGGTGGCAGTGTCAGAAGACTTTCTCAGTGACAGTTTCCACCCTGCCGCTTTTCAGCTGTATATCATGTGACACTTGCCCAGGGAAGGACCCACAGCCAGTGGGGGTGTAGGTCAACCAGAGAGCACTTGCCTAGACTCCCTCAGTGAGGCACACAAGAACTACCAGCCGTCAGGACCATGTTTTCATGACTCACCTAGCCCATTATCTTAGGTAGGGTTTTACTGCTGTGCACAGACACCATGACCAATGCAAGTCTTATAAAGGACAACATTTACTTGGGACTGGCTTACAGATACAGAGGTTCAGTCCACTATCATCAAGGTGGGAGCATGGCAGCATTTTGGCAGGCAAAGTTCAGGAGGAGCTGAGAGTTCTACATCTTCATCTGAAGGCTGCTAGCAGAATACTCACTTCCAGGCAACTAGGAAAAGAGTATTAAAGCCCACACCCACAAGGCCACACCTTCTAATAGTGCCATTCTCTGGGCTGAGCATATACAAACCATCACACCCCTGGTGGCTTCTCTCTTTTCCTTCCCCTTCTTTTCGGCTCATGGTTGTCCTCTGACCCCCAGGGCTGGGAAGCATATGAGAGCCTAGGTCTCTTCTGCGCAGCTATTGGCTGTCAGCATCTTTATTCACCAATCAGAAATCACTTGGGGGAAGCTCACATAGCATCACATGGGTCTATGTGGACTCTCATCCTCGGCCAACCAGGTCTTGAAGACCCAGTATCAGCATTAGAACACAAGCAGCATCAGGCTAACCCACTACACTGGAAAACTGGGTGGGGGGGGGGGTAAGGTGGGGGAGGGCAGCTTCTCCCCCACACCTCGAAGGTCTCTTTTCATCCTAAAGCTAGATGGGCACACGTACACTGTTGGCTCTGTTCATTTATCTTTCTTTTCCTCTTCCCTTCCCACCCCTCCCTCCCCACTTCACCCCTCCCACCCAACGTTTCTTTCTGTGTATATGTATATGCATATGGATAGATAAAGGCAAAAACAATCAACCTTGGTTGTCATTCTATCTCATTGCCTGGAACTGAGTGAGTTAGGCTTGCTGGCCAGGGAAGTGGGTCTCAGGGATCCCCTGGGGTGCCAAACATGCACCCCACCCAGCTTTTTTTTTTTTAACATAAATTGTAGGCATCGCCGGGCGGTGGTGGTGCACACCTTTAATCCCAGCACTTGGGAGGCAGAGACAGGTGGATTTCTGAGTTTGAGAGTTCGAGGCTAGCCTGGTCTAAAGAGAGAGTTCCAGGACAGCCAGGGCTACACAGAGAAACCCTGTCTCGAAAAACCAAAAATAAAATAAAATAAAATAAAATAAATAAATTGTAGGCATTGAACATAGGTCCTAGTGCTTTCAGAGACCGTACTGATCACACCATCTCCTCAGCCCCTCCCTCTCTTCTCCCCTCCCTTTCTTCCAAAGCAGGGTCTCATATAGCCCAGGTAAGATCTGAATTCAGTATGTAACCAAGGGGGACCTTAAACTCCTGATCGCTCTCTACCTCCTGAGGGATAGGCAGTCGCCACTATATGCAGCCTACTGTGAGCTTTGCTTTCTTTCTCCTCCCCTTCTTTTGAGACAAAGTTTCACTATGTATCCTTGACTATCCTGAAACTTGCTCTGTAGACCAGGCTGGCCCCAAACTCACAGAGGTGGGCCTGCCTCTGCCTCCCAAGTGCTGGCATTAAAGGCATGCACCACAACGTCAGGCTTGTCCAAGTTTTTCTTTTAATACTGAGTTCTCGGGTGTGTCTCTGCATACGTGTATTGCATAGAAGGCTCCATGGATCTGGGGAGGCGGGGAGGCTGGGATCACTCATCATCATTATGATCATATGGCAATATGTTCTCGTCTTCGAGCAGAGCCCGGTGTGATGATACAGACCCCAGCTCCCTCCGGCTGAAAAAAGGTCTCGAGTTCAAAGCCAGCCTGTGTAACCTACTGAGACTATATCTCAAAATAAAAAATATAATGTGAGCAAGAGATGCAGCTTATTGGTAGAGGGCCAGCCTGGAATCCCCGGGGGGGGGGTTAGAGGTGTGGCGTAGCATAGTTTAGCAGTAGCACATTTGCAAAGCATGCAGGAGGTCCCAGATTCAATATTCAGTGCGATAATCAATTTATAAGCCAGTTAGTAAATAAGTAAATGAATTTGAAAAATTAGGAAGCTAGAAAGCCAGGTGGGCATGGCTTCTCCCCGCTCTGAGTTTCTGGGGGCTGGAAATACCACAGTTATTGCTCCTGTAGAGGACCTGGGTTTGGTTCCCAGTATCCACACAGTGGCTCCCAGCCATCTACAACTCCTTTTCCAAAGAACCTGATACCCTCTTCTGACCTCCACAGGTACCAGGCACACACACACACACAACACAGGGAAATCGCTCAATTAAATAAACCTTTAAAATGTTTTAAATATTTAAAAAGGTGACTGTGGGCCCCAGCAGGGGTGGTGCACACTTTTACTCCCAACATTCAGGAAGCAGAGGTAGACAGAACTCCGAGTTCGAGGCCAGCCTGGTCTACATAGTGAGTTCCATGATAGCCAGAGCTACACAGAGAAATCTTGTTTGAAAAACTAAAAAAAAAAAAAAAAAAAAAAAAAAGTGATTGTGATGGCGTAAGCCTGTAATATCTGTATACAGAGGCTAAAGGAGTTAAATCGGGACTACAAAGAAAGACTAGACACACACAGACAGACACACACAGAGACACACACACACAGACACACACACAGACACACAGACACACACACACACAGACACACACACACAGACACACACACAAACACACATACACACACAGACACACACACAGACACACAGACACACAGACACACA